ATTTTTGAGTGTTCTTTTCTTGGGCTAGGAAAATTGTATTTCATTTTTTACATAAATAATTAATATTAATGCTTAAATGATAAATATTTTTATGCCTCATCACTTGGGTATTATTTTTGTATAAAATAAAACGTCCCACTATCTGATACATTCTTTTTTGGTACAGACTAACTTTCCGGAACCGTTTTATACGTCACTATTTTTTTTAAATTCACTTAGACGATACCTATATATTTAAAGATTGTAGTCTAGCGTTTTCCAAAAATGACAGGATGGAAGCAGCAAAATTTTGCCTATCATACTAACATCATAAACCAGGATAAAATCGAGCATGTAGTATTAGAGAGAGATAACAGAAACACAGGTCGGGAGAGAAATAAAAGAGAAATAACTTTATTAGGATATGCTGAGGATATAAAAAGTCAGATAATCGCTGGTTTGAATATTTTTAAGTTGTGGATAAAACGTATTAGTATTGAAATTGTGTAACAAGATAGTAGAACCTGTCGTATCCTGTCGGCACTCCCACATTAAAAAAAAAACAAACAAAAAAATCAGAAGAAGCTTAACCTTCCAAGACCAGCCAGCCAGCCATTCTAATCAACCACAACTCCCGTTAATCATTCTCGTTAGCAGCAACGATATGCGATAAACTGTCCTTTTTAGGACGACATTCTTCAACGGATAGGAAACTGTCGTTTTTAGGAAGACACACTTCAACGGCTACAAAACCGTCCTTTTTAAGGTGACACTCTTCAACAGATACAAAACTGTCCTTTTCAGGATGACACTCTTCGATGGCTACAAAACTATCTTACAAATGGTTGCTATTGAAAGAAAACGGGAAAATAAAAAAGAGAAAAATTTAAGGAGTGAATGTAAATTGGAAAAAACGAAGTAAAGGACAAATGATCACGACGCACTTCACGTAAGCACATCCGCTCAGACGGGCGCAGGCGCGTGAATGCACATTTGCAGAGACAGACGCATGGCCGCATGCGCGCAAATGTACAGACGAACACAAACAATAAGGAAAAAATTACATCAATGATAAGTGCTTAAAAAAGAAAAATCAAGAAATATAAGCAGTCACTTGCCGATACCCACTGAAGTGTGGACAGACAGATCTGTCTACGAAACTCTCGAGTCGGGATGCTTAAGGTAACATCAATCAGCTAAGTGACAAATTAAATGTGATCTCGTCATAAAGCAATGCTATTTTATTTCGTCAAAATCAATTTAGTACACTTTCGCTCATGACCGCAAACAACCATATTATACATACTGAACAACGACATTAAAGGAACTTAATAAATTTTTATAATTTCCCGTAAAGAAACTTTTAACAAATAAGAAGACCTATAGCACTTTTGTGAGTTAGCACAGGATACCAACGATTCGCAGTGTGCCTTCAAGTCTAAACAGCTCCGATAATGACACTACTGACAACATCCAGTTTTTGATAACGACAGAGACGGTCAAAATACTTGAAGAAAAGCTTTTGATATTTTGGGCCTGTTATATATACATTTGGTCTCAAAATTGACGAGCTTTTTCTTTCAGGACGTAGGCGATCATGGCCCTCCACTTCCCCCTATCTCTTGTGACCCTCAACAGGTTTAGTGTTTCTGCCAACTCCTCCAGACCATGCTTCGCCATCCACCTGCCCAAGCTCGTCAGGTATGTCATGCGCTGCTTTCACCTGTCTATTCGTTCCATGAGTATCAGATTCTCCAGGCCCTCCTTTCTCATCATGTGTCCCAGAAATTTCATCTGCCTCTTCCTTATGTTAAGCATAAGCTTCCTCTTTGTTTGCATCCTTTCCAAGATCCCATCGTTGCTCACACGCTCGCTTCATGATATCCTCAACATTCTTCTGTGGGACCACATCTCTGCCGTCTCGAGTCTCTTCATCATCCTTGAGGATACCGTCCGACATTCGCTGCCCTATAAGAGGACAAGTATCACGTAGCTGCTCAGTACTCTTTACTTTGTCACCATAGAAATCCTCTTGTTTCGCAGTACTCTGCTCAGTTTCTGGAATGCATGATTGGCTATCTCAATCCGACTTGGGATCTCAGAAAATTGACGATATGAATTCATAATTTCGAATCGAATGTATATCAAAAACTGATTGGAAAAATACAATAAATATCAAACAAACAGACCTTGTCAATTAAATTTAACAATACTTGTTTAAACAAATTCTTGCTACCTAGATATAATTATTTATAAGAAACGACAAAAGGAAAACTTTTAATGTCAATGCATTTCTCTCCTTGAGATACTTAAAAACTTACTGTGCAAAAGAAGGGTAAACTATGCAGGATACTAAACGGCGTATTTTATCGGAGTCAATGCGGTTTTGCTATTGATTTTTTTATGTACAGAAAAACCTCTCATCAACGGACTAATTGGGGGAAGGGGTGGTCCGTTAAAGCCGATTATCCGTTGATGGGAAGGGATTATTTTTGAGTTATAAAACCACTATAGTAACTACCAGTAGTTATGATCATAATGTAAATACTATAAACATGTACATGTGGTCTAAATAAATATATACTTCATATAGAGATATTAATCAGAATTACAAAATAATAGATTTCTCACAGCTACTTTCTCACGCACGCGCTAATGTATCGTACTTTATATACTATACACTCGTCTTTGTTTAAAATTGAAAGGTCCGCCACCACCGCCAAGCGGTCACTTTTAGAACTAATACGACTCATTCAGCTAAGCCCACAAAATTTGAAATACATCGCTGACAATTTGGGAGTTATTTTCCTGCAGATTTTTTTATTTTGCCTGCAGCAGATTTTTGTCCGTTGCATCCGAAGTCCGTTGATGGGGGGTTCGTAGATGTGGTTTGTAATTATTATTTAAGTATTTTTATTTTATTTATTTTAGGGCGTTCTATAATTCCAAATGTGAAAAATTAACGCTTTTTTTTTTATTTTTCTCTACTTAACTTCTGTTTATATATAGATTATTAAATAAACTTTCTACACATGCCTTGATAAAGTTCTTCAAGGAATGAAACGGGTTGGCATAAAAAATTTTCCTCTATTCTTTTCTTTATATTGTCTTTAAAAATATAGTGAGATTTAAATTTATGCTCGTGCGCGAGGAAGTGTGGTGAGAGAGAGAGAGAGAGAGAGAGAGAGAGAGAGAATGATCGTGTGTGCGTGAGAGAGAGAGAGAGAGAATGAGTGTGTATGTAAGTATGTCCGAGAGAGAGAGAGAAAATTAGGAGAATGAGCATGTGTGTAGGAGAGAGAGAAGAGAGAGAGAGAGAGAGAGAGAGAGAGAGAAAATGATTGTGTGCGAGATTGCGTGAAAATGAGTGTGTGCATAGATATGAACATCAGGTAATCGAGAAAAATTTATGTAGTCATAAATAGGTAATAACCTAACGTAATGTTACGCGACACGCGCCAAATTTTAACATTCTCATTTCTCTTTCAGACGTATCAAGGGCATTAATTTGACCTGTCTGACCGCGTCGTTCACATATCACTAACAACTCGGAAACTAGCCAAGTTCTTGAAAGTGGTCAAAAAAAAAAAAAAAAAAAAAAAAAAAAAGAAGCAGGAATGACCTCACGAAACCTCCACGGTGGTGCACACCAAGTTCAAGTCGCCTGTGATGGTCTTGGTCAGTCGACAGCAACGAGGGCAATTTTAAACTTCCTTTTTTCCTTCCCATAGGGTATCAGGTTTAATGCCATCGCCTAAATCGAGATACCAGACTTGATAGTGAACCATGGATTGTGGGAGTTGACTTTGCGGCCTCCGACAAGATCCAAGTAACAATGGTAATTGTAATATTACGTTTTTTTTTTATAAGGAAATATTTGGCATTCATTGGCCAAGCAACGAGTATCAAGTTCAGTTGAAATTTATAAAATATTGATAGGTCTTGGGGTTTCGACTCCAGTCACTTTCTCACCGACGAAATGTGGCTTCCCTTTGTCTTTTCTAAAAATATTTTCATGGCAACTGCTCTGATGATCTATTTTCACTGGTGCTGCGACTGCATGAATTTAAGCGTGCTACGTTAAGTTGGCATCTCGCTCTCACCCTTTCACTGTCGAGACAGTTAAATGTAACCGCCTCTTCTACTCCAACAGCTTCTTCTCTTGTACTTCCTGACAATGGAACTCCCTTCCTCTTACTTGCTTCCCTAATAACTATAATCTTCAATAATTTAAATGTAATGTCAGTCGATATCTTCTGATGTCTCGATCCCCGTTCTTCTTTTTATTCTTCTCCGTTCTTCTTTTTATCCTTTCCTCAACCCCACCTCAACTATATCCAGTCTTTTCTCTTACTTTCACTCTCTGTCGTTCCTTGCGTACTAGTGGCACTCCCACTTTGCTTGGGGTGAAATGCTTACCCCCCCCCCCCAAAAAAAAAAATCAAAAAACAAAAAAAGCAAACAATTTTTCAGGAAAATAGGTTCCTCCAGTACACTGTTAATAAAGCTCTTTTCAGTATTAATGGAAGTTTCCTTCGTAACCTTTTGTTTGAAGTTGTGTGGAATGTCTACATTTTGATTATGTCATTGTTTTCTCTTTGAATTTCACGTGGCAACCATTTTAATTGTTGCTGCTGTTGAAAGTTCTCAAGTGATGTGCTTTCTGTCATTTGTCACAGTTCTTTGTCATTCTGTAGATGATCGAAGGTCGGTCCTCGCTAAGACCTACAGTCTTGATTTGTTAGGAAGCCATTTCTAGCCAAAGCGTTAGTCGTTTTTGTTTACAGGCATATCAAATTATGGGTTATGAAATGACGAAATCTAAATATTTTGTACGCCATATTTTCTTTGTTTTGGATATAATAATTATTTTAGTGACACTAGTTTTACTAATTAACCCACAACGGGAGGGAGAAGAGGTGGATTCATATCTTTTCCAAGAGAATTTGCGCGTAAGTGAATATAACGAACCCGATTAACAATTCCGAGCCATTATCCATTACACCAACCGCACATCGAAGCTTACAGCATTTGGCATTCCCAAGCCGTCACCCATCTAGGTACTGACCAAGTCCGACGTTGCTTAACTTCGGTGATCGTACGGGAACCGGTGTTTCAACGTGATGTGGCTGTAAGCTTAATTTAAATTAACGATTCTACCCCGAACCTTGTGAACTGGCGCTACAGAATCACAAACAATTGTACTCGAAGAGAAAATAATGATAATAGTCGATATTCCACACTACTTGAAACAAAAGGTTAGGAAGAAAATCCCCATCAATACTGGAAAGAGCGATAACAGTTACTGGACTTGGATTTGAGAAACCGATGATCCTGGAAAATTGTTTTAAGATAAATATTTTAGAAATTTAAACTGACAGTATTACTGTCTGCTTGGTCAATGAATGCCAAATGTTTCCTTATAAGGAAACGGTTATATATTACCGTTACTGTTTAATGCATGATGTTTTGTTAAGCGATTAAAAATTTCTTTCTAAACTTAAGAAAACAAAACAAAACAAAACAAAAAAAAAAAACAACGTTTTTTTTTTCTGAAATTTAATTAGTACTTACTGGTGTATACTTAAATAGAAGTTATATTTTCTAAATTTTAGCATGCTTTCCAATTTATACAGTCCTTACTCGATTAACCGGACTTTGATTATCTGGATGTAAAAAGAAGAAAAATAAATGGAAATCATCCGAACAATTTTCGGATTTTTCGAACTAGACCTATTCCAATGTTTCATCTCAGACAAGTGTTTTGAGAATTTGAGAATTTGATAAAAATTAACAAATGTTTAAGTTGGTTGAGCTTTTAACCAGTAGCCACACTTATAAAAATTGTTTTAAGAGAAAGATTTTATAATTTTCAACTTACAGTAGTACTGGCTGCTCAGTCAATAAATGCCGAATGTTTCCTTATAAGGAAGTGGATAATGTTAACATTAACATTTGCAATTTAATCTAGTATTATTTTCAAGTGGTATGGGCTCGAGTGGTTTGAATGTTTGCATTCTGACCATGACACCCGGGTTCAAATCTCACAATGGTCGTTTTGTCAGCAAGGAGACTTCTGATTGTTATCTGACTGGAGGGGTCGATCCCAACGTACGGTACCTTTGGCAAGTGCCTGAAAACCATACCGCGGGTTGACCCAAACCATGTGAGTGAAATTGAGTAGACGGATCCCTTTGAGGCCGTCAGTAGCGGTGCTAGGACGAAATCCCAAGTCATCGTGGCCGAGAGCTTGAGCGTGCTGGCCTTGTTCAAATTGCTGATTCCGTTAGATAGCACGCTCTTTCCTAGAAACTGTAACTAACGTCTGCTCAGCATAGTTGAAGTATAAACCACAGGTGGACTCTGTGGGCGTTGAATAAACACAAATGCGCCCGAGCAAGCGTCTGCAATAGGGATTTGCAAGCCACCCTAGTAGACAGGTATTCTCGAATGCGAGTGGCCAGCTATATATATATATATATACATATATATTTAAAGATATTTTTGTAGGTACAAAATTTAATGATCGAAATAAAAGTATAAAATTTGATATTACAAGACATATTAAAACAATATTAAATAATAAAAAAACTCAACAACAAGGGGGTGGGGGGGAAGCAACCGGTTTCGCTCCCGCTCTTCAGGCTTCCACGGGAGATTCAAAATTAAAACAGAGAAATGTACAATAAGAATAGGTGGAATATATATATATATATATATATATATATATATATATATATATATATATATATATATATATGCAAGAAGGAACTAGAGGCAGATGGCAGAGTCCCAGCAAACACTCACGTTGTTTGCACAAAGAAGGCTTGCGGGACCCGATGTAAAGCGCCTCCAGAACTTTCAGATGAAATACAGAGTGTGACCAGGCCAACACGGTGAACCAGTCGACACTAAATTTGGCAGCACAATCTCTGCTATACACACACACACACACACACACACACACACACACACACACACACACACATATATATATATATATATATATATATATATATATATATATATTTTCAAGTAGTTAACTCTTTGTTTGTGTCAAATTTAAATTGTTCTTTTTTTCCTTGTTAATATTTTATTCGATGTAAATGAACATTGGGATTGTATTAACGCCCCCTTTCCCCGCGTAAAAATGTGCATATGGGACGAGGCAGGACTTCATAAAGAAACTATGGCATTATCGAGGCTGTTGTACGAATGAGAAGCGTGACGCTGAACTGCCGGTGAAAGGGAAAATTACAGAAGGAACGGGTCAGCGATTATGGATAGCTAATTTAAAAAAAAAAAAAATAAAAACACAAAATAAGACAGTAATGACCAGCCACTCCCTTTTCCCCATGTTAAGCTTTGTGTCGTATTTACTGTAACAGTAATAAATATTCATAGTCTGGTGGTCACTTAAGGCATGAAATTGCCCGTCAACATACGCTAATTTCTATGTTTAAACTTTTTCCACATCACACCTATACACTGAACACTATTTTCAAAATATTGGGTAAATGAAATAAATCAAAGAGCCAGAAACAACCTACCTAGGTTTCTCTGACACGAAACAATATTTATTGATAAAACCACAATTAATAAAACCACGTGACAGAAGATAAAAAAAAGGAAACAAAAAACAAAAAAAAATTCCAGTATCCAGAATATATTAAAATCTCAGATATTTATATTATTAAGTTTATATATATATATATATATATATATATATATATATATTTGGTTGGATTGTCTGACGATCGCTAAAGCGTGAAACCCAGAGTCACAAACTCACATCGATCCAACCAAATATGTTAGCTCTATCTCTGATATTGAGCGCTTTCTAATATATATATATAATATATAAATAATTATATATATATATATATATATATATATATATATATATATATATATATACAGTTCAAAAGTTTGATGCCACCCACAGAGTTAGCATGGGATGAATTTGACAGAAGAGTGAAAAAAAATAATGAAAAAGAGCTCTTAGAGTCATTGAAAAAAATAGAATGTAATCAATTATAAAACTTATACTTTGAGAAACATTTCCAACGAATGCCAAAAATGTGTGCTGCAGTAATCAAGGCTAAAGGAGGATATTTTGACGAGAGCAAAATTTAATCATAAAATCCTTTTTGTGATTATAAAATTTCTAATAAAAAATGTCATTTTTTTTTTTTTTAACCGTGTATAATGATTTTCTTTTATTTAAAGTACAAAACAAATAACTTGGGGACCAATTTTAAAAATGACCAGTGATGTTCTAGAACTTTTGAACTGTACTGTACGTTAATTTCTATGTCTATAATCTATTTATATCTACATACACTACCTCCAGTATTGTGCATTCTTCCCTCTTAAATAAAACAATACACATTTTAAATTAAATTATCTTCAAAATTACTAAGATAAAAAAATCTTTTAAATCTTTACTAAAATAAAAATAATTATATTTTGCTCGTCAGTCATATTCAACGAAACATTTTTGAAAGAAAGATTTCCGTCCAAATATATATATATTGTCATAAAATAATTGTCGAACTTTGTCCATTTCATAATGTGTGACGTCATTTGTTTACATCTGGACACGCATCGAGCAGATATGAATGTACGAGAGAAAATCACGGTGAACTGTAGTTTAAAACAGTAAAATCGACCTTGCTAACCGAAACGCTCCTCTGTGGCTGAATCGGTAAAGCACGTCAGGCTATATGGCGGTTCCTTATAGGATACAGGATCGATTCCTGTTGGAGGACGCATATTTTCTATGACAATTTCTCGAACATTCACGCCGGTAAATGTCGTTAATATAGTTTATTATAAGCAGAGCATTTACTTAAATATTTGTATCTATAAAAAAAACAAAACGTATAAACATAAAAAATGTCATAAAATAATTGTCGGACTTTGTCCATTTCATAATATACATACATACACACACACACACACACATATATATATATATATATGTTTATTTGGACAGCAACCATTCTTTAAAAAATATTTCGTTGAATATGACTGACGAAGAAAATATAATAATTATTTTTCTTTTTCTTTATTTAGTTTTTCCAACATTCTTACCCTTTTCATTTTGGTGGCTTTAAGCGAGTGCAAAAAATGTCCGTATTGTCCATCGTCCCAAGCGCTTTCGGCCACTTCTTTAGTCATTTTCAAGAGGGTTGTTTTTCTTCTTTTAGATGCGGTGTGGTTATTTCGACATACGTCGTTTTTCGACCTAGGTGTTGACCTCTGGAACTAATTAACGACGTAGGTATTGTTGTGTCGTAAATAGGACAGGTTGTCGTAAATAGGAAAGGTTGACACACTTATGAAAAATAGTTTATTACGGAGAATAATAAGGTACACGGTTGAAAACAGAGACTAATGTAATGAACAGTCAATCGTGAACTCCACCCTCTCAGTAAGAGAGAGTGCTGTTTAAATAGTCTTAGACCAGTCCATTTTGTGGAGGTGTTCAGCTACTCCACAACAGGTATTTCTGTATAATAAAACGCTACCGTATTAGTATAGAGTAAACAAGCGAACCTTGATTTTTCACCTATCGTGATGAACAGATGTTTTCTCAGGGAAACCCTGTGCATTGAACGTCTACTGTAACATACTCAACTCAGACCTTGTGGAACGCGGAGATACGATCCATCGCTAAAGATACTGGAAAAAAGGTCGGTTCACTGTACCACTATAGTAAGCAACTGACTTTTCCTACTATCCTCTACTAGAGACAGATCGGGTGAAAGTGGAGTACTGTTGTCATATATGGCCAGGAGCTGCCCAGTCTTCACTTTTCAGTTTCAATAGAGTTCAAAAGCGTCTCCGCGTCCTTGGGGTGTTGAATTACTTTCCACCCTACAACCACTTTTCCACAGAGGAAACATTGCAAGCCTCTCGCTGCTTTATCGCTATTTTCATAGAAAGCGTTCAGACGAACTACATTTCTTAGTTCCACCATTTATAACCTTCATGGCTAAGACCCACCATGTCACGCACATTGTAGTGAATCACCTTCATTACCTTCGTATTCCACCAGATATAAGCAACTTCTTCTCACGAACCACTGCTTTAGGAAACAAGAGGATGTTTCTGCGATCACTACAAACT